AGTCAGCCTTTCGTATGCTTAATTAATGCCTTTACCTAATTTGCATATTGCTGACATATGCAAATTAGGCAAATGCATTAATTAAGCATGCAAATAGCTGATTTTTAGGGGAAAATGTAACTTTGCGTGAATAGTTAAGGGGCTTAAATTAAACCAAATTGTCTGAAATTTTGTACAGTAATTAAAAACTCGACAGGTTTTCCATCTATTAACTCAAAATATGATTACAGCTTTAAAATTTTGTGCGCGAGCCAATTTTAGTTTGTTGGAAAAGACACCCCCCCTGGTTCACAAAATTTGAGTTCGAGAAATTTTTTCATTATTCTACATTATAAGTACCGAACGAAGCTATATATATAAAAAACCCGGATACAAATAGGTGTTTTGCGACATTGAGAGCAATTTCAAATCTGTTCAGTTTTTTTTTTATACACTCTGTATATATAAGCTAAGATTTCCTGGCTCCAGTCCAGACGTACAGTTAAGTAATAAACAGCTTTAAGTATTTTTTTACCAATAAACGGCTGAAGTATATTTTGTTTTTGATTTTCTTTGTTCAGAAAATGGGGCGGAAAAAAATTTCAATTCCTACAGACAGACAGAATGTCTGTACTCCCCCACAATCTTGCAATAATTGTTAGTTATATACATGCAGTATTGAAATAGTGTGGGCATAGTGTGTAATTTGTGTTGTATTTTTGTTGGTTTTTAATATAATGAATACTAAATATAATAAAGGTAAAATATTGAGTTTGATACTGAGTTGGATCCGACTGAGTTGGATACTGCAAAATAATACCATGCTGATGCTTATTATGTATGCTTTTTTGTGAGTGATATTGTTCTATTTTGTGCATATCATGTCGCTCTTGAGCTGCTAACAACTAATCTATCTATCATGCATATATGTCGGTAGGCTCTTCCGCATATAATCCCGAACTCTGTGCCAGTGTAGGTATAATCCCGAACTCTGTGCCAGCTAGTGTAGGTATAATCCCGAACTCTGTGCCAGCTAGTGTAGGTATAATCCCGAACTCTGTGCCAGCTAGTGTAGGTATAATCCCGAACTCTGTGCCAGTGTAGGTATAATCCCGAACTCTGTGCCAGTGTCGGCATAGTGCCAATAATATAAACAAGCTTTCGTTGGTAGGGATGCAACTACCTGAGAATATAAGGAGAATTTCGACGTTTCGAGCGAAGGCTCTTCGTCTGGAGTTACTAGCGAATATATACACCGAAATCTCACAGGGTGCATTGAAGACTGGTATCATATCATAATTTATTACCCCACGCAAAGGAGAACTTAACTTTTAAAGGTATATATTATTTAACATTAATTCACTTTATTATGCACTTTTATTTAATGTAAACTTGATAATCTTGGCTATTCCCTTACTGTAATTATCCAGGCAAGAATTTATGGAATTTTTACGAATTTAGAAATATAATAGTTCACCGTTTTGTAGTTGCCCTTAATTTTCTAAAGCATAATATCTAAGCAAAGCAACAGGAGTAAACTAAAAGCAAGCACAGGAGGGTTAAGAGACTTGGAACACAAGTGGGAGCAGGGCTTGGTTGTGGGAGGTCCAGATTGTAAACACGGCCAAACAGTGCGGCTGTCAGTAGTCCTTTGCTGAGTTGTTGTGTAGTTTGCAAGAAGTTTACAGGAAATTCACTGGCCCACTCCCCAGGGAGCAGAGATACACCATCAGCCACAACTTGCGGGAAAACATACGATGTATTTAGCTGAGATTTCAACGAGATGGACTCGAAGATAGTACTGGCTCTGGATACACTTTGACCGCAGCTATCTCGATTAAGACTTAAACACTTGACCAAAGCACATATTCTTAAGTAGTACTGTCCTTCCTTTGTATGTAGTCCATCAAACACTCCTAGTGCGTACATTTCATCTGATCGTTTGCTGGCCATCTTGTAAGTAAGCGAACAACAGGTTATGCTATCGTTGTAACATACATTCAAAATGTCCTGCTCTTTTCTTAACTCTTTAAATAAAAAGAGGTCGCCAAATAGGTCCGAATAGAATTCATCGCTTATGCTGGTGTTTGTTTCATTGCCATCGCTCAAATAACCAATCGAATTGTTAACATTTATCTGGGTTGTCTTACGCGATATGTTTCGAGGTGATACAGGTAAGCTTGCAATCAAAAGAGCACCTCTCTCCGACAAACTTCTGTAGGATGCCCTTGCACCAGTGTAACTATATATACCACTACCCGTATTAAGCAGAAAAGGGACATGAGTATTAGACGCGAGAAAGTTCACTCGCATGCCACGAGCCCACGAACTGTGAAATCCGATAGCTGCAAACAGCGGTAATACATCGAACCAGGCTGTGGGGAAAACCACGTGATCAATATTATATTTCTCCACCAATGGTACGGCTGGATCATGAAAGAGAACATCAAAACATGTAAATGTTCCAAATTTACCAAACGGAGTGTCAAATGTGATAAATTCTGGCTCCAATGGACGATTCACAACTTTCATTTCGTTTAAGAAAGGATGTTGTTTGTGGTATCTAAAAACATAAAAAAAAATATAGGCTTCAATGTTTTAAATGGCGTTTGATAGTTGTGGGAGTGAGAGAATGATGCTGTATATGATGTTTTTCTTCTGTACACTCATTGCATTTGGCACCAATCACAAGATCAATAATAGATATCTGCATATAGTTAGTAACCGCAATTTAGAGTTGACCATCTTGTACTGCGCTCACAGCCTCACATGATCACACTTCGTAAAACCTGCCTAGTATTCATGTTTGTCATTAACCAAGCCTAATAGAAGGGTAATCATGTGTGATCTAAACGTTGAATACCGCTCAAGTCAAAAACTTTAGTAGTTACCAATCCTTACTAGTCCTTGAACCCAGCTGATGATTCTGTATAGTAGAATTTGAACAAGACAACTATTAAAAGTCGTCTCGAAAATAGCTCGTGCACTTGGATAAAACTCGCGTCCAACCCCTGTTGCTCTAACCATGGATAATAAAATAAATGGATAGGACTCTAGCTGACGTAAGCAAAACAACCTAGTTGCAATCTGTGACGTCACGCGTATTGCAAAGTTCTCGGCATTTTTGTTGTTTTGCTATACTTTCCGCTTTAAAAGAGTAATATTGAAGCATATACTGGTCTAATTGTTTTAAAAACATGCCTAAGCCACGACAAAGTATTCAAGGTAAATGTTTTTCGTCTTTGTTTTGTATTTTTTTACATTTGTAGCTACGAAATTGGCGTCCCCAATTTTAACGAAATTTGCGATGTATTTTTCACTGTTTAGTGCTTGAAATATTTGCTAAAATTGACTGGGAATACTTAGAGATTTCATCGTAGAATGGCGTAGTTATATTCATTTGCTCTTTGACTAAAATGTTTAGCTGTATTATTGCTAAACATGCCGTTTTTGAGAATTTGGTTTGCAACTAGGTTTCAACATCCAATCACGCCATCAGCCCATTGAAAACATTAGGTCACGTCAGCTAGTTTCCTATCCATTTATTTTATTATCCATGCTCTAACCAGACTTTAGAGCGGTGGTCTAGAAGCGCGGAGTTGCGAGTACGAATCTCGTGCTCACCAGTGACGTCGCGACGTCATTAACATTTGGGTTGGGTGGGGTGTCCTCATATTTTGACCACGTTTTGGCGAACGTTCTGACCAACTCTGCTCATCTCAACCACTAATTCAGGGGGGGAGGGGGAGTTAATTGAAGAACCAAAAATTTTTTCCCGCCGGGACATTTTATACTCATTTTCTTTCTCTTTAATGTACGGTTACTGACCCCTATTTGGTTAACTTTTCCGCAATTTTTTACTTAATTTCCCAAAAGAAAATATTTTCTAATTTCGTTTAAAGTGACCAACTATTTTGACCAAATCTTTTTTAACTTAAAAATTATTGGGGGGTGGGGGGGGGGGTATAACACGTCCCTGGTGCTCACTATTGCGTTGTTCTTTGCAGTGTTAATATTGTAAAACGAAATCATACCTGGCTATTAACTTTCCATTGCTATCAAACACGACATTTGTATTATATTGATAGCGTCCATCATCCGGACAGTGTGGATCTGTGCTTCTATCACATGGCTTTATATCTCCCATATTAACAACAAGATAGATATCATTATCCTTTGCCAAGCAACCAAGACGGTTCATTATAGCAGTAGAGTTGTGAGATTGGGGTTCTTCACAGCCATTCCATTCAATTTTCGTTGGGTCAGGAATGTTTTCCAGAAAAGGTCGAAATGATTCACGGGTGTAGCCAAAACCTGTCAGACCGTATTCAGGAAAAACAATAATACTGGCATTCTATATGGAACCAAGAATAAACAGGTTTTTAAACTAGAAATATAAAGCCAGGTAAAGGAAAGATGAGGATTGAGTGTTGATGGCTGCAACTCTCGTTCACGTTTGACCCCCAAGGCCCCAAATTTCATTGATTCTGGTTTGAAGACGGGTCTTTAGAACATACTGATTTCGATTCAGGGATGCCGGAAGTTGCTGGGGGCAAGGGGTGCGATTTGTTATCAAAAGGGCATATTTTTTTAAAAAGGGGCGCAAACAAGAATGAAAGGACACTTACCTACTTATAACCTAATTTAAAATAAAACACAAACAATGAAGCAACATTTTATTCATTTCAGACATTAAAATAAGGCACACAGAATTAGCAGAAACTGTTTCGCTCTCCTCTATTGAAGCAAGTTTACGGTGTGGCAGTTTACTAGGTTATATGAAACTAAATCGTTCATTGTTTACAACATATAAACTTAATAAACTTCTCCAAAGTAACCTTTCCTTTGTGAGGATTTAGATATAAAGTCTGCTGTTTGCCTGCTAACTGCTTTATGTTTACATCATCCATTCTTTCCTTATGAATTACTGCAAAATAAGATACAGTTTGTAAGCACTCCTGAGCCCATGCATTCGTGATCTTAGACATGTCTTAACACGTTTCATGACACTGAATGTCCTTTCCGCAGTTGCAGATGACATAGCATATGTTCACAGGAGCAGCAACAGCTTATGCGTTTCTGGAAGTGATGCTTTTGAGACAGCCTTCGCAATCAATATGTCGAAACAACAGTTACTTTCTTAGTGACAGGCATTGATGCCAGTTTCAATTCCATGCATGTTGTACAAATTGATATGGACATGTAACTCTTTCAATTATTCAATCAAAAGATCCACTTCTACAAACTTTGCAGCGACGCCAAGGTGCTTTATCACATCTGCCTCATTGTTAGCGCATGAGATTAACATGTGGGTGATATTTTTAACGATTTCAATGTCCTTTTGATCAAACCGTTTTTTCGTCGAACTCACAATGCTGTCGATCGCACCGAAATATACCCGCTTGGGTTCTCCCTTCAAATTGTTGGAATCGTGTCCGCTTGGTGCCACACCTTTCTTGGTCTGCTTACATGATTCCTATCTATCTGTAGCTCTAAATCTTCAACTTTCTTGAACAGCTAGAAAATAAGAACAAATTAAATATATTTGAATAATCTTCATGTTTTATCATACCGTACTGTCATGTATATGTCTCTGTATCTTACCTTAATTTTCAAATTATTCAGCATTGCATCTCATCTCTGCAAGCCTTATTTCAATCTTTGTGATACAGTCCAATGCCTCTTCCGCTGTAAAATCATTCTTTTGTAGATTCTATGAATTCATTTCCAGAATATGCGCCAGATACCCTATTAGAAACACACTAAGCATGTGCTTGGTTCTTTCCAGTCTGGAGATTAGCCCTTTGCTTTGGCTTTGCATTTGGCATCGTTGTTTATGTCCTCACAAATATTTTAAGTTTCTATAAGTTCCGCATGTTTTGAAGTTATAACATTTCCTGCCCCCCCCATCTAGTCTTTGAGAGATTCTGGAGGTGCAACACAGCATCACTGTCGATTTCATCCTGGATCTTGGCAAATAGAGCCACACGTTTGGAAGAGATCCCAACAATCACATACATCAGTATCCTCACACAGAGACTGAGCATTCTCTAAGGCTGGGCAATGTTTGGTGGCATCCTTCAAAATTAGTTCTTGGCAACGTGCTAAGCAGTGAATGAAAATGGCTGATTCATTCATTTCACTCTTGATTTTCTTCGCCAGATATTTCATTGCCATTGCGCCATCAAATGTCATTTCCATGCACTAACCTGTTCGCATCCAGCTGATACCTTATCAAGATATCCTTGATATATTCAAACAGAGCAGCTTTTATCACACCATCCCTGCATTCATAAATGCTAATAAAGTATTCCTTTACTTCATAATCGTCGGTACAGTACCGTGTTGATAAGGAAACGTGTTCCAACTTCGAGATGTCTGTTGCCTCATCTACTATTATGCCATAGTATTTGACACTCTGGAGCTCTACGTTAAATTTCTTCTTGCCGCAAGCACAAGCATTTCCGTAGTGCATTCTTCCTACATTCTTTATCATTTAGAATCTGAGCTATCTTTTCTTTTTCTTCTGGGCTTTTATTCTTCTTACACTGCCTATGGTAATCAGATAACTGGTGCATGTGGAGGTGTTCTGGACCTTTGTTCCACGGTCAGAATCCATCTGATGTTTTGTCTTTGTAAATGAAATTTTCTCTGGAATCTTGATTTCCTGTCAGTTGATTTGGTGAACAACCAACCCGCACTAAAATAACGCCTGATCGCAAGTTAGCTTCAGAAGATTACATCATCAATTATTTGTACACGATCGCACTTGATAAACCTGACGAGTTACAATAAATTTAGGGGTTTAAGTAAGTAATTTGTTTGTGTTAAATGACTTAAATCTATTCGCTTTAAATCTTTTGTGCACCGGTTGCACCCATAGTATGCACCCGCACTGCACCCAAAGAGTTATGAATACAAAAGGCATGGGGTGCACTTGCACCCGCTGCACCCGTGGTTCCGGCATCCCTGTTTCGATTACAACAGAACGACCACAAAATCTCTGGCTCATAAAAGTATAGCCTTGCATGCAGCCTACTGTAGTCCTAGACCTACAATCTAGTGCAACATTTCCTATAATTAATATTATCGAAAATTTAGGAAAACCTCCCCCTTACCCTCATGCACCATTTAATGTTGATTGCATTCCAAGAATACATGTACGTCCAACATTGTTTTGGGGGAAGGAATGGGGAACCCCTAATATTTTTTCGTTTGGTTTGAGGTTTGTTCGTAACTCTGACGTCGTATTTTTGTAGAATTCATACGCAACCTACAACGACGATTCCCTTCACTCGAATACAGATCGAGTTCCCACAGAAAAACAAACTAAATGTATATAGTCAAATCAAATTCCTTGCGGAGATTGCCAATGAAACTACATTGGTGAAACAGCAAGGACGTTCATTCGAAACAAGGAAAAAAATAGGTACGCGACCGCGTACATGTATCTGCGCATTAAAGGTCCAGACACGCTGGACGCGATTCGACAACGCGACGCGATTTTTCGATTTTCACTGACCGTTAAATTTAATCCAAGTTTATATTTTCCAAATATTTAGAAGCGCTATAACATTCTAAGTTACTTGGTCTACATATGTTTGTAACTGATTTGCTCTCATTGGCTGTTTTTCAAACTAATTATACTGAAAAATCGTGTCGCGTTGTCGAAGCGCGTCCGGTGTGTCTGAATCTTAAGGTCTGAATCCACGACGGCGAAATTCGTCGCGAGAGCTTGTGTCTGCGAAATACGGTGGTTGCACATGAGCGATTGTATTGAATTGTCCCACTTTGTCCGCTTTCGCAGTAAGTAGAAATGTTTCGCATTCATTGATGGTGCATTCTCGAAATGACATTTTTACAGCAATTGTGCGAAATTGTGCTAGTTGAAATTATATGCCTGCTTCAGATATAATATTTACATTTAACTAGTGACTTCTATAAAATTAAGAGGACGAGAACCATTTATATCCCGAATCACGGCAACTGATAACAATCATACAAAAATGTTTCTTTTTATCTGGAGCTAAATATCTGCTATTCATACAGTTCATTACTTTTAAGAACAATTTAAAGAAAATAATTAATTAAGGCTATAAAATGTGTGGATTTATTAAAGACGTGGGATTAGACGTCTGTACATGGAGTCATGAGCTAATAATAGTTTCTGACATTTAAAACAACAGGGCTACGTTTATCC